GGCTGCTGCCTAGGGGGATGCACTGGGGTGGGGTGGGGTTGGGGGCAAGATTCGTTCCCACGGAGTTCCCAGCTGGTCAGCGCCTCCTCTCTTCTCTAAGCTCTGGGCCCATCCCTCTCTCCTCTCTGGTTAAAGGCCCGTTGCCAGTATCTTCTGAGCTTTCAGGCGTGGGTTTCTACAGATGGGATGAATTGCAGAGCCGGGTTCGAGGTCTCACTGTGCTCCTCACTGTGTAACCTCAGGTCAGCCACTGCTCCTTTATGGTCTCCACCTGTGAAATGGGTCAAACCCGCCTCGCAGGGTGGATACGAGACTCTGATTCTGAGACTCTGGTTCCCTCAGTGTGGGCTGGACTCTGGGCAGGGGAGAAGACCCAGACTTGGGGGGATGAACTTTTCCGTCTTGTTCTGGAAGCCCAGCCTCTTGGTCCTTCAGCAGGTCTCCGCTAAGCACCTGCTATGTGCTGGCACCATGTGAAGCCCTGGGATGCTGCCGCGTGATGGTGGAAGCCAGAGGTGTTGTGAGCAGGGGCTCTGGCCCAGCTCAGGGGCCTGGGGAGGGTGCCTGCTGCCTCAGAACCTCGACACTGAGCGTGTGGACAGCAGAGAAGGAAGATGAAGGGGTGGCTCTGGACTCTGCGTGTATGCTGTCTCTTCAGTCGTGTCCAACTCTGTGCAATCCTATGGACTGTAGCCCACCAGGCTCCTCTGTCCATAGGATTCTCCAGGCAAGAATACTGGAGTGGGTTGCCGTGCCCTTCTCCAGGGACTCTTCATGCCTGGGTCCAAATCCTGGTCTATCATTCAGTGGCTGAGTGACCAGGAGGATGCTAACAGTCCCTGCCTCTCGGGGTTGGAAGAAGTAGATAAATTATGGGTCATACCACACCCGGCGCAGACCTGGTGCTCCGTGAGCTCCCCATGCTTTTCTCCTCGGCCCGCAGAGGCTTGCCTTGTTCCGAGTACTTTGCAGAGCAGCTCTGGATGCCCAGAGGGGACGTGTCAGGGATTATCAGGTTATGATCAAGGGAAGTCCAGGGACCAGCAAGAGCCCCAAACACTGCATCTCATGCAGGGGTGGCCTGAACAACTTTGCAGGACCTTTGCACACTCAGCAAAGTCTTTTCTTGCCTCCGAGGCATCATCCTTATATTTCCTCTATTCTTTCTCATTCACACACCCCCACAGACCTTGGAAGCACCCATCATATTTTTACTCTTTCTTTGCTCACAGCCTGTTTTTCTGATGGACCTTGGCCTCCGTGAGAGCAGGAAAAACATCTGTCTTACTCTCTGGCCAGAATGACCTTTTCGATCTTGTTCTGCAAGCTCAGGTTCCGTCCGGGCCCTTACAGGACTGGGCACATACCTGGTGAGGCCGTGTGGGCCAGGGGTGAGAGTTCGCCGAGGCTCTGCAGTCAGAACCTGGTTCAAATCCACTTGTTGTTCAAATCTTGTTCAAATCCACAGGGCATGTTCCCTGTGCCTCAGTTCCCGAACCTATAAAATGGAGCCATAACTTGTTGAGTAGGTTACAGGTTACATTAATTTACGCAAAGCGTGTAGACCAAGACCTGACACCTAGTAGGACCTTAAAAAAAGTCAGGCACTTTTCCAAGTCTAGAGGATCTGGGCATTCAGAAAACACAAACTCCTAAATTTTACGTCTTCCCTCCACAGGGCCAGTCTGTCCTAGTTCATATAGCCCTTCTGGTCTACTTGGTGCAGGCTGTGCTAAAATGAGGAAAACCAAGGCCCAGAGAGAGGCAGACACCCACCCTAGGTCACACAGGAACAGTGGCCAAGCCAGGTCTCCTGTCTTCCAACCAGTTCAACCTCAGGATCTCCTTGGTTTCCAGGCCCTGGTGGCCTACCCTCTGACCCTGGTCCCCCCGGGAGCTCAATCCCAGGCTCGTGGGGTCTACAAGTCTGGTCTGGATTAGACACGCTGGTAAGCAAACGCCGGGCCCCCCCCAGCAGGCTGCCTGGCGGGACCCGTGCTCACAGCTGCTGAAGCTCACAGGGATATAAATCATGGTGGCAGAAGCCTCTGGGGCTGCGACCACCTTAGCCTCCTGAAGGGCACAGGGGCCTGAGTGTCATGGGCAGAAATGCTTGGGTCCACTGGGGGTTTTTCTGTCCTCTGCTGGGGCAGCTGGAACAGGGCAGGTCAGAGCGGGCCAAGAGACCATTGGCAGGCCTTACCTTCTAGAGGGCCAAGATCTCAGCTCTGTTTTAACTTTTTGCTCTGGAGTTCTTTACAAACATGCAGCGAAGTAACAGAAGGAGTGCACAGAACTCCAACATACCCTCTACCTGGATTCCCCGAGTTTTAACAGTTTGCCACATTTGCTTTGTCTTGCTCTCACTCTTGCAGTTACTTTTTTCTGATCCATTTGATAGTATGTCACCTACACCATGTTCTTCTACTCCATAATACTTCAGAGTGTGATTCTGAAGCACCAGAATATCCTCTTACATCACCGTACTGGTAGCAAATTCAGTAAATGTAATGTTGATGTATGTGTGTGTGCTCAGTTGCTAAGCCGTGTCCAACTCTGTAACCCCATAGACTATAGCCCACCAAGCTCCTATGTCTGTGGGATTTTCCAGGCACTGGAGTGGGTTGCTGTGTCATCCTCAAGGGGATCTCCCCAACCCAGGTGTCGAACCTGAGTTTTCTGTGTTTCCTGCACTGGCAAGCAGATTCTTTACCACTGAGCCACCTGGGAAGCCCCAAGTGTGACACTGACATGATCCCTTAATCTGTTGTTCTTACTCCAGTTTTGACAACTGCCCAGTAACATCCTCTGTAGCATCAACCCTCAGTAGAACAGGGCCCAGCGCAGGGGCATGTGGCATTTTGCTGTCCTTATCTAGACTTTAGATATCAAGCCCACAGGAGGTAAAATATACAATAGCAAGAGATGCAGACAGGTTGAACAAAGATGGTCAACCTTACATGTGTGTCCCACAGACTGATGATTTTGTAAATCTTCTAATGTTCTCATGACAATTCATCATTCTTGTGATTGTATAGGTTGCTTAATAAGTTAACTTGCTGAATATGCTAGAGTTTTGAGGATTCTATTCTGTAGTGTGTTTATTTTTTAAAAATCTAATAGGAACATCATAAAATGGAAGTGGTCTGGGCTACTGAGGGGAACTAAAAGTGGTGGAGCAGCCCTGGGCTAGAGAGAGGGACTTTGCATTCTCAGCTCCAAAAGCTCTGCAACTCTGGCCCTTCGCTGTCCTTTCTCTGTTTCTCCATTTCCATGGGTGGCCTCTGAGGCTTTCCAACTTGCAACTGTGGAATTAGAGAAGAGAGTCCTAAATGGCGGGCAGGAAGACTTGGGCTCCTGGTGGCTCAGAAGAGCCAGGGACTAGCTAGGGGACCTCGGGCAGGTTGCTTGTCTGTATCGGCTCAACTTCTCGTTGTGAAATGATGCACTCTGAGATCCTTCTTGTGCTGATGCCCCTTGTGACTAAGAAGGCTTGGGTGGAGGGTGTAAACTGATATTTAGGCCTCCCCTTCAGGGTCCCAGGTGGCCTGGATGAAGTTGCTCATCCCACCTGCCTTAGCCCTGGGTTTCTCCTCCCTGAACTCCTTAAACTCCTCTAGCCCTGAGTTAAGTCCTCACTTAGGCAACATGGAATGGCTGGGTTATCCCATCCTACAGGCAGAAAGCGTGTGTGTTGGGGGCAGGGATGTTTGGCAAGTGGCTCCCAGAGACACTGGTCCACAGTTGTGCCTCTCCCAAGTCACGTGTGTTGCACTGGCCTTGTAGCTCACATGGGCCCCAAGATATTAACTGTCCACTACCCAGGAATGAGGCCCAGGGAAGACAACAAGCAGCAAAACATGCAGAATGGAGCAGTATGCAGCTGCAAAAAAGCATGAGGCAGCAAAAGAGCATGAAACAGCTCTTTAAACACTGAAGTGTCTCCAAGATGTATTGTTCAGGGGAAAAAAAAAACAAATGCAAGTGCAGATCAGTGTGTGAAATGTCACTTCTCACATGGAAAAAAAAGATACTTGTGATATGCTTGTATCTGCAAAGACTATCTCTACAAGAATCCCTAAGCTCTGGTTAACAGAATTGCCTCTGAGAACCAGAAGTGAGCTGGGAGAGAAGACTCACTGTCAGTTTATTCTGTCTCCTGAAGTGTGAGCTCTGTCAAGTGCATTGTTTATTTCAAGGGGAATACGATGGAAGCAACCCAGTATGAGGAGGTACTCGTGAGGGGTTCCTAGGATGATGCTAATCGCATTTCTTGCTCTGCATGCTGGGTGCACAGGTGTGCTCAGCCTGTGCAAGTACACTTAATGGCACATGGACCGTCCTGCACTTACGTTACACTTTGATAAAAGTTTTAACTTAGTATGTTGCAAATGATTATTTAAGTATATGTGTTTTACAAAAACTCTGCAGGATTATTATAGTGTTAACAGTGGTTGTCCTTGGGATGGGTGGTATTTCTAAGATCCTGCAGTATTTGAGTTTATATATATATATATGTATACAATGAATACATAAGCAGAGAAATCTATAAATACTTTTTCAGAACCAGTAATCAGTAGAGAGCATTTCTGGAAGGACACACGGAAACTGCTAACAGCAGTTGCCTTTGGGGAGGAGCCTGAGGGAGGTACATACTTTTCACTGCATCTACTGGATACAACTGGTCTTATTTACCCAGTGCATAAAAGGCCTATTAAAAACTACTTAATAAGGCAAAACAAATAACTATTATTCTGTCTCAGCTGTTCTCGTTGGTTAGGGATTAGGCCAGAGAGACTGGGAGGGGTCAAGCAACTTCTCAAGGGTCGCCCAGCAAATCTGGTGGCAGAAGTGGGCCTCTAGCCCAAAGAATCCAACTATCTGCTCTGTCCTTACTCCCAGGTTTCCTGCCATTGACAAGGTCACAGTCCTCTTCCCGTGGCTTTGCCAGGGGCTGCCTGGACCTGGGTAGGTGTGGGGTGTACAATGTGCTTTCCTAATTAGCTCCCGAAGGGGGACTGTTTGCTGATCTGCAAAATGGGCGGCCCCATTTCAGGCTCTGACTGAGGGCCAAATACAGGGTGTGACAGAGTGGGTGCAGCATGGAATCTGGAGCCAGTCTTCAGCTGGTAAAAAGTGTCTGTTAAAAAAAATAAAGAAATAGGCACATGAAAGTACCTGGAGGAAAGGGCGGCTGCCTGGCTGTGCTGTCTCTCCTGGACCCTCTCCTTGTTCCCTGCCTCCAGCTTCCCCAGCTTCTCTGATCCTGGACCCACAGGGACAGAGCCCCATAGAGAGAGCCAAGAATGGCTCCACTGACCAGTTGTTCCCATTGCCCTCTTGGCTGGACCTGTGAGATGGGGAAACACCACCTCCCACCTCTCAGCTGCTGGGAGGATAACAAGGGTCACAGGGGCTGGCACCCTGACTGGGGCATCTCCAGGGCAGGGGAAGGAGCTCACTTTGGGCTTTACAGGTGGACAGACCTCACATAAATCACCCTGCCATGTGCCAGCCATGCGCCTTTGGGTGTCATTATTTCTTCAAACCATCTCAGTTACAACAGGGATAAGAGTACCCCCTGTTAGCACATACTCATTTGCACATGCGGAAAACCACATGCCTCCCCAGCCCTGTTTGTAAAGACATGGATAAGGCATAGATTAAAGTATGGTACGTTCACAAGATGGAGCAAACAGCTACTAAAGAAATGAAGAGAACCCTTTACCTTTATGTACTGACTTGGGATAACAGCCAAACTAGATTAAGAGGAAAAAAAAAAAACCTCATGGAGCAGAAAGAAGGTAACAAGGGGCTACTGTCTGTGTAAAGGGCAGAAGAAAACATACATGAGTATTTCTGTATTTGCTTGGTTATTCACACGGAATAGAAAAGTCACACAAAACTAGTGGCTGAGCCTATCTGCAGCGGGAGAACTGTGGCCGGAGGACAGGAGGGAGGGAGACTTTTTTTTTAACCACATACCCCTCTGTACCTTTTGAATAGTGAACCATGTGGATGAATACATTCCTCATTCAAAAATAAATAAAATTAAGATTTTTCTTTTACCAACCACACCAGATACCCAACAGTTATTCAAGAAGACAGTGATGAAAAACTGGTTATTTCGATTTCTGGAGAGGGAGACCCCTATCGTCCTTCAGCCCCACTCCCTCCAGGGCACAGGGCAGCGCCTGTGACACCTGTGTCTCTTCCAAGGTCCAGGAGAAGGGCCACCTCTGACCTCTGATGTCCCTAGGCCCCTCCCTTCTGCAGCTGGGAACATCTTTTACTTAAAAATACCTTTTATTTTAAACCCACCAATTCTCTCTCTCACACATACACCCACACTCATCCATAGACGCACACATCCTCTGTCACCAACAGTCTATGTTTTTCCAAAAGATCTGCCTTGTCTCTGACCAGCCAGGGCTGGGGCCGGCTGGACGGGTCCTCACGGCTCTCCAGGGTGGGGTGGAGATGTCCCAGGGGTCCTGCTCTGAGGGTCATGGGCCCAGGTCATTGTCCTCTGGGTCCCTCCACAAAGAAAGGGCCCAGGTTTGGCTCCTGGGGTCTTCTCCCCTGTTCACCCAGTGGCTGGCCTCTGGCCTTCTTCTCAGGGTCCTGCTTGGAGCAAATGACACAGGGATCCAGGCTCATCTCCGTGGCACTCGAAGTGGGGTTACCCCCCTCACCTTCAAGCAGCTGCCCCCCAGGTCACGACGGCTTCCCTGTGGGAAGGGAAAAAAGAGGTTCAACTTTTTGAGGGGTTCAACTGTCTACTTGAATGCTGGAACTAATCTCTGTGACCAGCAATAGGGGACTTGATAAACACATCAGTCAGCCACACAGTCAAGTTCATGAAGCAGAAGGCAGAAGACACTATATGGACTAACAGCGGACGATGCTGCAATAACATCATTTAAAGACAAGACCAAGGATGGAGTGTGTGCTCCTGTGTGCTGAGATGTCCAGAGAGGGCACATGGGAAACTGCTAATGGGTTCATCAGAGAAGAAGAATGTGATAAGGAGGAGACAGGATGGGAGGGAGGCTTTTTAAAAAAACTCTATATACTTTTTTACCTTTCTCATTTCTTTTTTTTTTTTTTACCTTTTTCATTTCTTCCCCATGTAATCTGTTGCTTAAAAAAATCCAATACAGGTCAAGTCATACAATTTTACACTCAAGGGCATAACACATTCCACAGTAGTTCTCCTGCTGCCCGGGCTGTAGACTCAGTGGCCTCCTCATCAGCCTCAAAAGTAGATTCTGGAATTCTGGCCTCCCTGCCTTCATTCAAGGTGTTCCCAGGAATATGCACTCTGGTCCTGTCCTGGGAAGATTTCTCTGTTCCTGCAATTGCCTGGCACTCCTTGCCTTTCTGGGGCCAGGATAAAACCCAGAAGGGGAATATGGGATCTCTCTGTTCTCCCATCAGGTTGGGAACTCAGTGGGGTGGCTGGAGAAAATCCTTCACTCTCTAGCCCCAGTTCCAGCCTGGGAACTGGCATGGAGCAGTTACCAACCAATGCTGCTTGGATCAGGGGTGTCCACTGGAAGACAAGTTAATGGTGGCAGCCCTGGAGGCCACCTATTTCCCTCACGCGGCAGGGACAGTCTCTCCCCGATATTCTGAGGTCTGACACCAGGGTTTCAGCCTTACTGTAAGCCAGCAAAGTCACAGACATTAGAGCACCCCCTCTTTTGCATCCTCCAGCATTGCATGAATGGCTCAGAGGCACCCAGCCAGTTGGTAAAAAGGGCTGTGCTAGAAAATCCATGTTGTCCAGTCTGTCTGGTTTCCAGGGCATAGTGGGGTCTGAAATCCCACTGTAAACGCTCATTCCTGAGCCTGACTAGGGGATGACAGGACCAGCCTTTTTCTCAGCCATCTAGAGAAATAGCTGACCATCTGGGAGCTCTGCCCCCTGCCCCCCTCCACTCCTGGGCCCAGGTTGGGGCAGATCCATCCAGATGCAAGCCCAGCCTCCCTTGAGGCTCTCTGGGCCCAGGGACAGCGTGTTCATTCACAGGCAAGGCTATTTTGAGGGCTGAGGCCACAGTCCCAGCAGAGCCTGGGGCTTGGGCTTCTCAGACAAACTCTGGCAGCCGCAGCTGAGAAGGGCGGATGGGGGTGGCGCGGGGTTGGGAGGCGGGGGTCGTGTTGAGGTTGGAGGATAGAAAACCAGCTTCCTACCTTTTCAGGGTCAGGAGAGCCGCCTCTACCCTACGTCTGGCAGTCATCGTGAGACTGGCATTTCCCTGAGAATGCTGAGACTGTTCACCTCCCTGAACCTCAATCTCTTCATCTATGAAATGGGGACAAAATGATTCTACTTGCCACCACAGAGGTGCAGTCAAACGCAAGTGCAGCTGTGAAAGAGGCTTGTAAACTGCCAAACACATTTAGAAGAGGCCTTGACTAGGCCCCAGATTCTTTGTCCCTTTGCCCCTGAGTGCCAAGGCTCCGAGAAGCACCGTAGTTAGTAGGTGGTTAGAGTAAAGCAGACCTGGGCTTCAACCGCAGCTTTGTCTTGGACTACCTGTCAGACCTCGGGCAAGTGACTTCAGCTCACAGAGCCTCAGTTTCCCCATGTGTAGTTACCATGAGGATTATACACATTAACACAGGTAAAGCCCTTAGCAGAGTCAGGAACATAGCGAGTGTTCAATTAACATTCACAAATATTAGCATCAGCATCACCTGATGATGGTATCTCCTTGCCCCACTGCTCCTGGGCTGGTATCCGAAGTGGGGAAGGCTTTACAATGATCTTATGTGACCCCTACTCTCAGGTGACAAAAGGGAAAACAGGGCAAAGACAAGAACCCCCTACTTCCCCTTGCTATTTCTACCACAGAGGGCCACACCTAACACCTCCTTAAACAAGATGCTGCAGGGAGCTATCTCCATGGTGACCCCAACCCCTGACCAGCCAGCTTGGGGTGAGACGGTAGCTCGGAGTGAAGGGATAGAGTCCGCGGCTTTAGAGCTTTCTGGAAGGCTCCCATGGGCTCCCCAAGACAGCCAGTTTTCTTCCAGTTGAGTCCCCAAGTCTTTGAGGAGCCAGAGCTGGCCAGGATCGCCCCTTCTGCCTATTCCCAGAGGAGTCTGTGGACTTGAGAGCATGGCTTCTGCAGCCAAATTTGGCTGGGTTCTGGGTCCTGTAGACAGATCCCAGGGAAGGGGCCAGATCCAGGCGAGGCCCTGAGACTAGCAGAGAAGCCCCCAGGCTACCTGCGATGTGGGTGGGCACATAACGGACACACCCTCTCCCCTAGGCCTACTGTTACCAGGCCTTCCCACACTAACCTTTCCTATTTCCCAATCGAGCAGGCCTGAGTTTGAATCCTGGCTTCTTTATGGGCAGTGTCTCTGAACAAGTAATACCATTTCTAAGCAGGTAGGGATAACTAGAGCACCTTCTTCCCCAGCTATTTTATCTTTTTTTTTTTTCTTTTCTGCACCATGCAACATGTGGGATCTTAGTTCCCTGACCAGGAATGGAACCTGTGTTCCCTGCATTGGAAACTCAGAATCTTAACCTCTGGACCTCCAGGGAAGTCCCTGCTGGGGGATTTTAATGGTAACACATGGAAGGCGGTTAGCACGAGAGATCAGGGCTCATCAAGACTGCTGACACTGCTGTCACTGGCCTGTCTTCGCTTCCCCTTTGTGCGTTGCCACTTTCAACGTCTTCCCTTTTTTAGGTCATGGTTTCTGATTCCAGCTCTGGCTGTGCCTTGCCCCTAGAACACCCTCCCCTACTCTTCAACCTGCCTGCCTCCATCCTCAAGCATTGTCGGGGACTTAACCCCTGGGTCAGGGGCTTCCTCTGACCCTGACAGTCCCTTTGTGCACCCCCATCAGACCGTAGCATCCCTCTTTTCACCTCCAGACCCTGCCCTGACCCCACACTGGGAGTTCCTGACTGCAGTGCACAGGCACCTACCACCTGCTTCTCTGGGAATGTTCTCAGAGCCAACAAAAAGCAGCTGTCAGGTAGCTGAGGTTTGCTGAACTGAGTGGATGGGTGAAAGGCAGTCAGAGAATATTGCTGAGGGCCCAGTCAGCCCTTCACAGCCTGGGTTGGATTGCCCGCAGGCCCATCCTAGCTTCTCAGTCCAGCCTGGAGCACAGACAAGGGCCCACAGCTGGGAGTAACAGGGACCCTGGAGAGAGTTCAAGTCTGAGCCTACCAAGACTGACTTAGGGAAAGGGAGGCAGCCATCAGGGTGGGAGGCCAGGATGGGAGTCTGATGAGCTGGAAGGGGGTGGTCTGAGGCTAGGACCCAGGGGCTTTCCTCAGAGTGAAGAGGGGAGCTGGAGCAGTTTTGAGAAGCAAAGACTGGGGAACCCTCAGAGGCCTGACTCCAATCCCTCATGCTTTTTAAAATTTTTATTTTATATAGAGTTGATTAACAACATTGTGTTAGTTTCAGGTGTAGAGCAACGTGATTCAGTTATACATACACGTGTATCTATCCTTTTTTAGGAGAAGGGGACAACAGAGGACGAGATGGTCAGATGGCATCACCAACTCAATGGACATGAACTTGAGCAAACTCTGGGAGCTGGTGAGGGACAGAGAAGCCTGGCGCGCTGCAGTCCATTGGGTGGAAGAGAGTCGGACACAACTGAGTGACTGAACAACAATCATTTTTCAAATTCTTTTCCCATTTAGGTTATTACAGAGTTCTGAGCAGTGTTCCCTGTGCCCTCAATGCCCTGTCACTTTCCAAAAGGCCATGGGCTGGTCAGGGACTCTCTCAGCCTCAGTTTCTGCAGCTGTAAATGGAAGCTGCTGGGATGCAAAGCGGTCACACAGACAAGACTCCTTACGCTAAGGAAAGCCCAGGCCAGAAGGGGAAAGGCTAGGGGTGAAGCAGGCCCTCTGGGGCTGGTGCAAGGGGAGAACCAGCTTTCAGCCACAAGTGCCCCTCAGCGACCTCTGCGGCTGCTCACCCTTCCCCAGTCCCTACCAGCCTGGTACCCATCCTTACCTAGGACAGACCACGGGAGCCTACCTCAAGTTCTGCCCCGATGACTCAACAGTGCCTTTCTGGAAGCGCCGTCCCTTGAGGGGGTGGGTATCCTCAGGGGACCCCTCATTAATGCTTACTGCTCATGAGCTGGGTGCGTGGGGCTCTTGACTGGGGCTGTGCGTCCCCTTTTCTTCTAACCTCCTGCCCCTTGGTCAGTCTCAGGATGCAGAACAAATCTTTAACAAAAAGGGCAGTTCAGGGCACACACACCCAGCAGACCCGGAGCCTGCATTCTGGCTTCTGAGCTGGGTGATGAGGGCAGCCCTGAGACTCAGATCCTGATAAAACCAGCAAACCTACCTGTCTGATGGGGGTTCCTGCGAAGGTAAAAAGAAAGAAGACCACGAAGGCGCCCCTCCATAGGTAGGGCCTCCTGCTGCTGCTGCTAAGTTGCTTCTCGTGTCCGACTCTGTGCGACCCCATAGACGGCAGCCCACTAGGTTCCTCTGTCCCTGGGATTCTCCAGGCAAGAATACTGGAGTGGGTTGCCATTTCCTTCTCCAATGCATGCAAGTGAAAAGTGAATGTGAAGTCGCTCAGTCGCCCGACTCTTAGCGACCCCATGGACTGCAGCCTACCAGGCTCTCCGTCCATGGGATTTTCCAAGCAAGAGTACTGGAGTGGGTTGCCATTGCCTTTTCCGAGGTACGGCCTATGTTATGTTAAAATGCCTTTGTTATGATCTCCCCACGCGCTCTTCCTAGCACACCTCTAGTTGGAGTGAGTGTCCCTGGATGAGCAATCTCCATCCTCTAAATTACGCCTGAGCGTCGGGCTTCCCTGCACCCCGTGTTTGGGGGACATTGTGAGCTGTTGTGCTCCACACCAAACACTGGGCTTGGACAGCCGCACAACCGACGACTCCATGTCGCTTCCCCCATCTCTTCACTGGGGTCTCTGCCCCTCTCTTGCTACCTAAGGGGCCAGTTCCCTGACCCCATGGGCGCAGTGCTGGAGCGCGGCGCGCACTCACCCCCTTGCGCTGGTTGCTGAGGCAGAAGGTGCAGATGGAGCGTGGCTGGCGGCCGCCGTCGGGGGCGGCGGAGACCGCGCTCTTGGCACTGCCGGCAGCTCGGAAGCACGGCTGCCCGTCGTCGGCCGCGTCGCCCAGCAGCAGCACGTTGGCCAGATGTGCGATGTAGCTGGACGCCAGGCGCAGCGTCTCGATCTTGGACAGCTTGCGGTCCACCGGCTCGGTGGGGATGAGCGTGCGCAGCGCCGTGAAGGCCGTGTTCACGCTCTGCGTGCGGTCCCGCTCCCGCGCGTTGGCCGCCTGCCGCTGTCGCACCACCACCACCGGGCCCGCGCTGCCCGCCGCCCGCCGCCCGCCCCCGGGGCCCGGGCCGCGCCGTGCCGCCTCCAGGCCCTCGCAGCAGCCGAACGACTGATCGGAGGCGTCGCTTTCGCTCCGGTTCTCCTCGTCCTCGCTCAACAGCCGCACGTCCGGGTACAGCACGTGCGCGCCGACGGGGCGCAGCAGTGCGAACGCCATGGGCACCCGGCCTAGTCCCTGGATGAGCAGCGTCCCGGCGCTGGCCGCGCCCCGCCGTGCGCTCCCGCGCGCTCCCACGGCCCCTCCGGCCGCAGCCTTATAGCCGAGGGAGGGGCCAGTCCGGAGGCCGCCCCAGCCGGGGCGGGGGGGCTCCGCCCCGGCCAATGGGGAGGCTCCCGCCGCCGCCCGGCCAATGGCTAGGCGCCCACCGCCCCCGTCCCCCAGGTTGAAAGCGGCCCGCGAGCTGGTGGCCCGCCCTGAAGGCTCCAGGTCCCCGCTGGCGATCTGGGTAAACGTGGGGGTCGGCGAGAGTGGGATGGGCTGTACTCAGATCCAGACTCATCTTCAGCCTAGACCGCCGGGAGACTGCGGGCAGATCCCTTCTCTCTTGGCTTCAATTTCCTTGTTTGGAAAGAGGGTTACAGAGAAACCAACTCGGGTTTTTCTGCCCTCAAATTCTGCTGTTGTGATGCTGCAACTCATGTGTTGTCAAATAAGGGAAGGAGGGGGGAGCTTTTAACTTGATAAATTCCCAGATTCCTCCCAATCTGATTCAGCAGACCCAGGAATCTGCATTCTCTACAGGATGGTGGTGTCCACGGAGAACAATCGGAGAAACACTAATAATCTTTCCAAATAAGGACTCAGTGTTGTCACGTCCCTGACAACAAACTTAGAAGGGAGAGGAGGAGAGAGAGAGAAAACGAAAACGAAACACACAAACGCCAGTAGCTCTATTCATTCATTTATTCATTCAACAAATACTTAACTGGGTCCTGGCTATGCCAGGCATGGTTTTAGGTGAGAAGAGAAATGTGAACAAAACGAATTCTTGGCTTTCACGGAGTTGGCATTTTGGTTGAGGTTCTACCACCAAAATGGTTGTGCCAGACACAAGGCTGTGTGATTTACTGATGGTGACTGTTCTCTGCTGAGTTGTGGGGAGGGGCCCCTGACTGACAGAGGAGAGCTCTGTTCTTCAGGGTGAGTGAGAGCACTGGCCCTAGCCTGCGTGTCTTCATGATCACCCCTGTTCTGTCTCCACCCCCGATACAAGGAGAGCTTCTCTCCCTTACTCCCCAGTCCCATCCTGTGTGGCTGCTGCTGCAGCCGCCCTGGCTCCCAATCCACACCCTCCCCTTTCCTTCTGCTTGAAGTGCCAACACCACCCCCTCAAAACACAGGCGCTTACAGACAGAGGGGGTGGGAGGAACTATCTTCCCTTGTTGCCTCCCTTCCTTCTGGAAACCTTAGATTGTTCAGCCAGATTTCTGATACGTCCTCTTCCTCAGAGGCTCTGGGAAGAATTACTGAGATGATGATGGTTGCTGGGATCCCCAGGTTGCTCATGTCCCTTTCCCAGCTCCCTTCTGTGGGGCTGGCCTAACCTGGATTCACTTGACCTTGACAATAACTTTCTCTTTGGCCCACATGGCAGCCCGTGAAGCAGAGAGAGCCCAGGGAGTGAAGCTGGAGGAGCTCTAGGTGCTTTAGGCTCCATCTTTCTTCTGGGCATCAGTTCTCTGGACTGATGCCTCCCAGCTCTGCCATGCTGTGCTTTCCTGGCTCTCCGGATGCAGGCCAGAACTGGGGAGAGACAGGGGGCTGGAGGGTTTCCCTTGGCCTCTAGGAGAGCAGTCCCTGAAGTCTTCAGGCCCTAGGGCCTTCAGGAAGGTCTGTTCCCACACCTGGCTCTCCCCCCACCTCATTTGACCATGACCCCAGCCAGGCTGGGCTTTGGAGAGCAGGAGAAGGAGTCTGCTCGGCCCCCTCCCTGCAGGGCCAGCCCCACACACAGCCCCAGGCCAGGCTGCTGCTTCCTGAGCCGATGAATTATTACCGGGAGATTTCCTTCCCTGTCTGCGCCTCCTCACAGGGGCTCCCCGCTCCCTTCACTTTCGCTTCCCCCCCCACCTTCTCCCCCTCTCTTCTGCTGGACCCTCAGGCAGCTTGAGATTCCTCTGTCCAGCCCCCTCCCCTTCCAGCACGACCCGGAGGAGCCAAATAGGGCGTGAACTGGGCCCGGAAGGCGGGGAGGGGAGCTTCCTTGGAAGGCGCATTCATTCATTCGCTCCTCAGGCAGGTTTTGACACAGGGGACCCTGGGAGTAAAATAAAACCATGAATGAGACTCAAGGCCTTCTGCCGTCCAGAGGGGAAGGCAAGCTGTAAACAAAGAATTCCAGGACAATGTGGACAGTGCAAGCCAGGGCCTGGCATCAGAGAGACCCAGTTCCGGCCCAAGGTTAGCTGCCTCTTGCAGTCTCAGCTTCCTGCTCTGAAAACAGAGGAGTAATAATAGTAATAATAGTATTTATTCCTAGGGCTTCCCTGATGGCTTAGTCGGTAAAGAATCCGCATGCACTGCAGAAGATCTGGGTTCGATCCAGAGTATTTATCATTTCTTTCACTCATTCATTTATTCATTCATCCACGAACATTAATTGAGTACCTACTCTGTGTCAGGCGTGGTTCTGGGTACTGGGAATACAGCGGCGAACAGACCACATATTTACCTGTCTGCCAGCTGTCTATCTTCATCAGGAAGATAAGTCCCCTGCATATGTATAAGCTTCAGCCCGAGAGGGTGTTCAAAAGTCCAATTTGTTCATAAGTCCAACAAAGTTAGCTGAGGTACTCGACTAACATAATCGGCTGTATAGTACTGTACTTTAATAGGCTTATAATACTTTTCATACAAATAATACTTAATATTTTTAATCTTACAAGACAGTACCTTGAAAAGTACAGTAGTACAGTACAACAGCTGGCATACAGAGGCTGGTGCTGGGTGAATGTCAAGAAGAGTTACTGGGGAGCGAGAGGAGATGGGAGATGGAAGAGCTGAAGCACTGTCAACAGTAGGAGACGGAGGACAAGCTGCAGTTTCACTCAAGCCTGATGATAGAATGCACGTTTGCATCTTTGGAAGTTTGCAGCTTGAAGGTTTGTATGTAGGGAACTTAATGAAAGCTTCTTACGGCAGGGACTTTATATTTTGTACTTTGCCCATCACAACCTTCTGAGGTAGGTATTGTTATTCCTACGTTAACAAATGAAGAAACTGAAGTTCCAAGAAGGAAAACAGGACTTGCCAAGGTGGCATAGTGGTTAAGAATCCTCCTGCCGAGCGGGAGATGCGGGTTTGATCCCTGGGTTGAGAAGATTGTCTGGAGAAGGAAGTGGTAACCCACTCCAGTGTTCCTGCCTGAAAAATCCCCTGGACAGAGGAGCCTGGCAGGTAGAGTCCATGGAGTCACAAAGAGCAGGACACAACTGAGCGACTAAACAACAATGAGAAGGTCACACAGGAGCCGGCAGAGGAACTCGGCTCGGTCTTCCTCAGCCACACAGCCTCTCAGGCAGCCCAGAGGCATGCGAGGGCTGAGGTCTGCCAGATTAGAGGAGGAGGGTCTTTCAGCCTGAGAGGACCACGGATGGCCCCTGCCTTCCGGACCAGGGCACCCTGGCTTCAGTCATCTGAAACACTTGCGGTTCTTCTGCAGCCCCAGCTTTGCCCGTCTGACCACCTCTTCTGGAGTGCTCACCCCTTTGGGTCTGACCAGGCAGCTCTACTGCTCGATCAAAGTTCAGCAGAGCTTCTCAGTGGAGCCTGCTTTGTGCTTCCTCCTCCACCTTGGTGCACAGCCCTGTATTCATACACCATGTTTTGACTTCTCTCCCTGATTCTCTGCTCCCTTTTCCCTCTCCCTATGGGGCTCAGTTGTGTCCGACTCTTTGCGATCCCCTGGACTATACAGTCCATGGAATTCCCCAGGCCAGGATACTAGAGTGGGTAGCTATTCCTTTCTCCAGGGGATCTTCCCAACCCAGGAATCGAACCAGGTCTCCCGCCTTGCAGACGGATTCTTTACCAGCTGAACCACAAGGGAAGCCCAAGAATACTAGAGTGGGTAGCCTATCCCTTCTCCAGCGGATCTTCCCAACCCAGGAATCGAACCGGGGTCTCCTGCATTTCAGGAAGATTCTTTACCAACTGAGCTATCAGGGAGTCCCCCTACATGGCAACCACCCTATTTTAAAATTCTTTTCTTTTAATACATTTATTTATTTGTGGCTGCACTGGATCTTCATTGCTGCGCGCAGGCTTTCTCCAATGGTGGTGAGCTGGGACTTCTCTTGTTGCAGAGCACAGGCTCTAGGGTGTGTGGGCTTCAGTAGTTGTGGTGTACCGGCTTAGTTGCTCCACGACATGTGGAATCTTCTGGACTGGGGATTGAACCCGTGTCTCCTGCATTGATAGGCAGATTCTTAACAACTGGACCAGACAGTAAAGAAGCTGCCTGCAATGCAGGAGACCCAGGTTCGATCCCTGGAGAAGCGAACGGCTAACCCACTCCAATATTCTTGCCTAGAGAATCCCATGAATAGAGGAGCCTGGCGGCTACAAAAGGAGCCTGGGTCTCAGAGTTGGACACAACTGAATGACTAAGCACCCACACACCAGAAAAGTCCCCACTCTATATTTTTAAAGACAATTTTTTAAAGGCAATTTTATGTTTAAACAAACTTGAGAAATTCAGAGATTTCCCATAGACTCCTTGTCCCCACAAATGAATAGCCTCCCTGTCATCAGCACTTCCCAGGAGAATGGTACATCTGTTACAGTTGTTGAACCTCCATTGACATATTATGGTCACCCAGAGTCCATAGTTTATCTTAGTTTCTCTCTTGGTGTTGTACATTCTATGACTTTGGATAAACATGTGCTGACCTATATCCATGATTTTAGTAGCATACAGAGTATTTTTACTACCCTAACATTCCTACATGTTCTGCTTGCTCATCTACCCACAATTCCTGCAACCACTGATTTTTTTATTGTCTCCATAGTTTTTGCCGTTGCCAGAATATCATGTAGTTGGAATCAGATAGTATGTAGCCTTTTCAGATCTACTTCTTTCACTTAGCAGAATGTACTTAATGTTCCTCCATATCTTTTCATGGCTTGATAGCTCATTATTTGAAGCATTGAATAGT